GTTTGCAGGAATTGTGGGTGGTGTGGTGTTTGTGTTACTGGTTATTGTGCACGCTATCATCAACTTATGCCTGTGGTGCCAAACCTAGATGACATACCAAGTTCTTCATACTGTTTCCTTATGACGGGCAAAATATCGGCAGCAAAATCTGCGTTATCCATTTGCTTAGCCGCGATGCAAGAGGTGTAAAGTTCATATAGCTCAGTTAGGACACTGTTCCCCCCTGTGAAATCCATCTCCAGGACCTTTGCCAAGTCACTGTAGACTTCAGTTTTCTCTTCACTTAATGCATCAGTGCCACACTCTGAGGAAACACACCTTGTGAAGATACTGACGTGTATAACTATAGACAATAATTCACTTAAGTGTACCCCACTGTGTCACTAGTAGCTGTGGTTTGTGTGCTGTAATTTGCAATTAGTAGGTGCGGTGGGCCTGGCCCGCTTACGAGGATTCCTTGGCCTTAATTTTCTGTATAGCGAGTATGTTTTGGACACAATTCTGAGACGTACACATGTACAAGGGGCCACATAATATAACAGCATTATTAGAATGGGGTTATTCATCATTACCCTCATTGATTTGGTTGAAGAGTGGCCAGTTACCGCAGGTAAAGTTGTAGAAGTCCTCGCAGGGATCAACGCTCTCATCCATGGCCCCCTTGATCTGCACTGCCAGATCCAGGCAAGCCTCACTCTGACAGACTTGGGGGGAAGATGCAGACGAAGAAGATGAAGATGACGAGAGTCGCTGGCGTATAGGGAGACGAATACTACAAACAGTACTACTGCCACGAGCAGCAGCGCCGAAAGGACGGCGATAATGATTTTGGCAGCAACCCTCCAAATGTCGGGCTGCGCACTTTGAAGTCGGGGGAGCTCTTTCCATCCTCAGCTTGCAATTGCTTCATTCTGAGAGGCGGTGGAAAGATACGCGGCGCTACACATACACACGTGGAGCTCTCCGCTTTCTACTCGCGCGCGCCTCGTTATGGGAGGAGCTCTGAGATCATTTCATCTTTCTCGGAAACGGTGAAATTGACTAACTTCCTACTTATGATGTGCAAAATAAAGTACTCTCCCTATCTCCTCTAATCTCCTTTCAAAAGATCCTTATTTCTTCAAACCACTCTGCCTTGGAAAGAATTATTTTTTTTATGAGTGGTAAATGACTAAAATATAACGTTTCCTCCTAGTATATAACTCTGCATCATGGAGAATCTTTTCTGTGATTTATATTAATTGCTGCCCAGGGATCTAAGATCCATAGACTATGATGTGGTAGCTTGAGTAACCTGTAACAGAAAAACTAATCAGTGAGTGGTTGGCGAGAGTTGACTAAGCGCCACAGTTGTAATCATGCCTTCTCACAAAAAATCACTGGAGAGGCTCTTGTGTAGTCTAATTTCCACTGAGTTTCTAAATAAGTCTTGTTGTTAACATTGCATGTTCAGTATTATTATGTCCTCTTTATTATTGATATTCCAGGGCAACAGGTTTTGACCTTACAAGAGACCTTGTTTTTATACTCCTGTCTGTTACTAAGAGATCATCATGATTTCTTGGAAAAGTTAGGATAGTAACTTCCTACATCCAGAGTAACGAGGAAAGTTTGCAGCTAACTTTTCTTGGAAGGAGTTATTGACATTTTGGCGCCTTCTTGGAGACTAGTTCTCCTGGGACTTCCAGGAATTGATCGGCCATCACTAGGTTCATAGGTTAGAATGGGGACAATGCATTAAAAGTTTGTCTTGCCGTTCGCCAATTCTAGTAAGTATAGCTAGCACAACTACGGACAAGTACACTTATCCACACGCACGACTGCTAGCCTGAGAAAGGCAACTTGTGTGTGACTGCCACTCTATAGAAGGGACAGGGACTTAATAGCTAGTCTGCTGTCCCCTGCTGCCTGTAGCCCGCCCATCCCCCGGCGATATCACGAGCATACGGCTTGTCTGTATATCAGACCTAAATTATCTCATAGACTAAGCATAATTATGTCAGCTCTCATATTTTTACTCCACTGCCTAGGCATCACAGTGGATGTGTACAATCTCTGTCTCCCAACCACATTTATCTACAGAAGTGTTGAACTTCTCCGTAAATGATTGTTAGCTGTGAAAAGACCAAGAAGAGGAAAGGTATTATACTTGTACCTTGTTAATTGGGTAGTGGATGTGGTTTTTTAAATATAAAAAGGACCTTTAATTATTACTGAGCCATATTAGGGTATAGTGTACTACCAAAATTCCAAAAGTGGATAACAAGACAATGAATAATGTTTAGCTCTCCACATGGGGAAAGTGTAAGTGTCTGATATGTGCCTCTCGTTGTATATACTGCAGTTATAAGATGTCTGGGGATCTGAGTGGAGTCCCTGGTTGTGAACTAGACCAATTTGAAGATGACTCCCTTATCAAGGTGCCCTTGGCAGAATCAATCTTTTCGGGCAATAGATGTCGAGGTCAGGTTCAGCCCCATCTGTATCGTCTGCCCTCGATGGCATCACGCTGTAGCCAGTCTTCATCCTGTAGACAATGTGCACATAAGCCACCTTCTCTGGACCTCCGCTAGCACATGCATGCATACAAGGCTGAATTCGAGAATGGTTCAACCGTTATGTTTTTTGTGACAATTATCTGTATTCTACAGACATTTTTGAGGATAGAGAGGAACTTTGCTTATTTAGATCTAACAAACGACTTCACTTTTAAACCCATAAATGTTGGAATATCCATGCTGGATTGACATACATACCTAAATATTGCAGTTATACGCTAAAAAACTGCCTATACTCCCTATGCACTGTGGTAATTCTTTACAGTTGTGTTTTTTGACATCCAATGAATGATATAATACCCTCAAAACACCGCTATATAAGTACAATTCGCAGACCACACACTAGTTAAAAAAACCAACTTTTTCATTTTCATGTAGTTCGGGCACACCAAACCTTGGAGTGTTGTATAATAATAGAGGAAATTCCATTTGTTTCCTCCAACTACAAGATTGTTGGTTTCAGCCCAACATTCATGTTATTAGAGTAAAGCTCTGTGTTAGCACTATATATAAAGCTGTGTAAGTAAATGAACACGAGTCGCTCGTATCCTCAAAAATGTCTGTAGAAGGCAGAAAATTGTGTAACAAATGCGCCATTTCTACCGTTTCATACCTCCAAAACAAAGAGACATGTCAGGAGAAAACGCATACCTCCTGAAGCTGAACATTAGTTCTACCTTTTGCAAAATACTGTGGATTTATAGCGCGTCCGGTTTTCATGAAACTGTCCGACAAACACGACACACACGATAAAAACGTGCCGCGTGTTTTGGCTCACCACTTCTCCCGCTACAAAGACTTTCCGCAGCTCCTCCAGCTCAAGATTAGTCGAGAAAGGTTCAAACGTTACGTTATTCGCGACTGTTTCTCCACAGCCTTCCTACACAGGCCAAGCGAGCCTCTAGTACTTGGCCTCCGCTAGCTAGCTCCGCGCCGCAGCCATGTCGAAACCACACCCTCTAATTAAAGTCACCACGTATCTATAATTGGCGAGCGGGAGCGAGCCAACCTAGTCGTCGCAACGGGCCGATTTCTCTATTAATTATGTACATATTTTGTACTGGCTTTTCCCTGCTATTTGGAGTGGCGCCACTAAACGCTTTTGTTTGCACAACTGTTTTACTCTTATGCAAGCCGTTTCTAGTGTAGTATATACTGCGGAGGAAAACTTACAGGGCTTCAGTGTGATTGTCCAAACTATGCGGTTCTTTGAACTCCTTTTGCGGTATGGTAAGATAACAGCTGCTCAGTTGCGGAGGACGCGTGGTGGCTCTGCGCACATCACTGTATTGTGTAGTATAGTAAGGAATGTGCCAGTAACTACTTCCGTTAGTGGATCTCCTGGAAGGAAGTGGTGGAAACGATCGCTGGGAAACCGGCTTCAACCGGACGGAGACTCATGAATAATTAATTAGATACCGTATATGTGCGCGCACACGAAAAATTTAACGTCTCAGTGGCCAATTCGAAACACCCGTACCGTGTAGCTAGCTAGCTAGTTAGTGGGTGGTATCCTAGCTCACGTGGTTTCAAGGCTCATTATTTCCCACGCCCCCCGCGTAAGTAGCAGCATTGCTACATTCTTCTGCGACCTAGATTGGTTGCCAGGTCCAATCAGCGATTCAGGATTCTTTAACAGTGGTGCCGTGACGGGCTAGTAAAGCGGCCAGTCCAGAGACGACCTAGAGAGGTACGTTCTTTTTTGAACCGGTGCGGGAGCGACTAGCTACGAGTAAAAACTGACGCGCGGCCAAAACCGGGAGATAAACGGACTAGCTAGTTGAATAGGTACACGGAGGTGTATCGCAGCGACTTTTTTAGCTAGCTAGCCACGAAACGTCCAGGCATTAGGAGCGAGTCGCGAGTTCTACGCGGGTCCTGCGCAATTAGCTAGGTGTCTAGCCATGTAGCTATGGCATGTCGTGATCTGTTTTGGAAACTTCTCGAAGCCCTATGCGTTATAACCATATTATTTTTCTGTGTCACAGGTTTGGGCTACCCAAGCAGAGCTCCATGGTTCCTTGTATGTACTTCTGTGAATATAGATGTATTAGGTAAGACTTCTTCCTGTAAACAGGTTATTGAAATGCCATGTAAATCACCCAGCAACAAAACTAGCTGACTATAACAAAATTATGACATAGTAAACACTTTCAGGGCACTTCCACTTCTTTATACCTCGAGAAGCACAATGCATTGCGCGAGACATACAATGAATGAGTGAGTGAGTTACATGCGTACACAGTACAGAATAATTGGCGAACGGGAGCGACCTAACCTAGTGGTCAGAGCGGTGCGTTTTTTCTATATAATTATTATATGTCACCGTACGTCGTCTCCACTGCGCATGCGTCAGGATTACGCGCTTCTTTTTATCTGACATCATTTGAAAATATTTACACATTGTTACACGTTACGCTGCCTTTGATGCACGATCTAGCCAGCGAGAGAACTCTCCTCCATTCAACGGCATTCGCTGCGCTCTTCGGTGCCTCACCGAGACCGTACCTCTTTCCGATCTTCGTGGTTCTAAGGTGGGAGTTGTAAATCGGCTAGGGCAGCTTGTGTCAGTATGTGCTCGCTCCCGCTGGCCAAACTTGCCGTGCATTCGCCTACTAGTATTATACATGACAGTGACTGTGTCCACATGCCAATGCAAATTGTGCACCAATATTAATGCACAATAGCGTTGAGCATGATTTTGTGTTTTATGTTGCGTGGGGTGAACTAATGCATTCTCATAAGGTAGCTATCATTATGGATTTAGGAGTTAGCAAAATGGGACCATACGCAGAGACATGGAATTTTTATATTAGGGCATGGACATAATAATTGAAGTAAAGGAATATGATCGTGAAGTTTACACTTGTTTCTCAGACAGCCATCTTAGTGAAGTAACCAACTCAATACGCTCATACCACAGAGTTGAACGGCAGAGCACCCTGCAATACTGCTCCAATAGCTGAAGCTGGGTAGAATAACCAGGATCAGGCAGTAGCTAGGAGTGTGTTAACATTATTAGCCATTTGTGTTTTTTGGGTATGACTTTTCATTTCAATTGCAGCTATGTCCGAAGACAGAAGTGAGGTTCACCTTGTTCCAGCCTTTTTTGGACAAGCTCTGGAGGATCCTCTACCACTCCAGGTATAACTATATATATATAAGAGAGATGGACGTATGTGTGACATAAGAATGTAGTGCATAAGACTGTTGTCTATTCCCAGTGTGAGTTCAGTGAGGGTAAACAAGAATCTGCTGTGGTGTTATGCTCTCAGCCATCAATTGAAACTGTTTCAAAACTGACTGTTTTTCTAAACCCCGACATACCAGTAAGCCAGGGCAGCAAAACCTTCTCTTGGTACCACGAGTCAATTCCCCTCCAGGGAAGCCTAGGTAACGAGGAAGGATCTAGCTCTGGCAGTGGTACAGAGTGCTACTCTGACCCACCTTCACACAAGTCTATCGATACACCGGTATAAACTATATACCCATGTCACTTTGTTCTTGGAATAACAACAATGTAGGAGAGGTTTGTATAATATTTCCTTTGTTTCCTTTAAGGATGTGTCGTCTTCTAGCAGTAGTGGATCTCAGAAATTGACGTCGGATGACGAAAGCTCCTCTGACTCAGGAGAGATTGCTGGTAACTTCAATTGCCCCACAGAGCGCCAAGGGGAAGAATATTCTGCTGTCCATGAAGTGGTCTGTGGTCGCGAATTCTTCAACAGTTTTCTTAAAGATCAGGTTTTTATAAACATTATTGGGGTTCAGTGTTCTTTGTGGTTGATATTGCGTCATGTTTTTTGGCACACACAGAAGGTGGGATATGTGGCAAACCTACCAGTTGATCAATTCTACCCACAAAAGCAAGCTGGAGAATTTGGTGGTACCAGCATAGTTGTACCATCTTCAGCGTGGCCTCCAAAGGGAGTAAGTATCCATTATCAATGTGTGTGTGTGGCTCTACATGTGTGTGAGTGTGGTGCTGCACACTTATGGTGTCTTGTTATTATAGGAACTGAAGTTTGACACTACAGCTGCAGAACTCCCTATGGACATGAGTGTGTTTACACATGTCAGTATTATACAATGCAGTATAATGTGCACTGGTATGTTTATACTTATGTTTACAATAGTCAATAGCTGAGGTGGAGTCCCTCACTCTTCAGGATCACGTGCAGGAGGTATATACACCCCAACATGTTTCACTTTCAATATCTAATGTGTTGTTGTGTTTAGGTAGCTGATAAAAGAAAGGGGTCATTAGTTGTTGGGACATCCCAGTGTGAGCCAACCTCTCATGTGGTAAGTAGTGGAGGTAACCTGATATTGGCTAGGTGTACTCACCACAGTTGTATATACAATTTCAATTGCCCTAATGCCTGGAGCCAGCATCCTACTATACATTTGGTGTTACTGCCGGCAGGCACAAGCTTAAATTAACAACAATACCACAAGCAAAGGCAGACCTCAATCTGTGCTATGGCACAGTATATACATTCTCACTTTATGTAGGAGTAGATGCACTTTGCACTACTGTATAATTATAGCTAATAGTGTTTTAGTTATTATACTTGACGTTTTCTTTTGTAGGAGATAATTAAAAATGCGAAGGATGTAATATCAGATCAGCATCACTTTCTGGAGAAGAGTGTCGATGTAATTGGCACTGCGTTGAATCCTCTCGTTACAAACATGCATGACGACCCGAACCATGACGTGAAATTTCGCACAAAGAAGAAAGTCTACGATATAAAATTGAGGGATCGTCGTACCACGGTCACTGAAGATGTACCGGTACCGAATCCTGCAAATAGTCCAGAGGCCTCAGATGGACGGAAAGTTCTCAAGCACATGTGTCAAAACTATCGACAGTATGCCGATGCACTAAACTACAAATCGAGCTCGAGTTTCAAAAGGAACTTGAAACAAATAATCGGCAGGATCCCGAAGAGGCGAAATCACTCCCTCACCTGGGACTCCTTCTTCAACACGGTTTATTACATGCGAAGCTTCATGGAGACGATTGGAGAGTGCTTGGAGGAAACCGACATGTTTGCTATTGCTGACTGTGCTCGTGACGGTGCAAAAAGGCTGAGAGAAATAGCCGAGGGAGCTAATCAAGCTTACAAATTCTTGCAACAAGTAGCTATATAACTGACTGGGTACATACACAACATACATAATTGCGGAGTACTATTATAATTGCAGCATTCCTAAGCTACTCTGTATGTACAAATACTCTGTATGTATTATATATGAATGATGTAGAGATTTAGCGCGTGGGCATACAGGTACTCGGAGAACATTTTATTGAGGCGAGAGACAATGTTTAGTAGCCCTGTGCACGTAAAGGAGAGGAAAGAGTGTGAGTACGTGTGGTTAGTCTGACTACACTAGCTACCTGATCATCATGTACTGGGGCGCGAGAAATTAGCGCGCACCACTCTAAGTGATTCTCCACTAAGCGCATGCAATTATGACGAAATGCAATTAGCGCTCACGTGATTCGCGTACAACTAACACCGCCGCGACGCGCAACTCAGCGCTTTCTGGTGCGCGCGAGAAGGGAGAAGAAAGAGTTGGGATTTACTGAAAATTGTCCACATCTTGAATCTGTGGAAAGCTGATAAAGCGCTGTAGAGACTGAACGTCCCCGGTTGAGCGTAAAACAAGCGCGCGCGCATAATATGCATGCCGTTTGGACCACAAGATTGATTGTGAGTGCAGTTGCACAATTTGTCGTGCGGGATCGTGTCAGTTTTCGTTGTTTCAGGTGAGCCTGTAAACTGCAAAATAGAGTTCAGGATCCCTAGTGTGTATCACTGGTAATCACTAGGCAAGTCCGTACTCCATTCTCCTTTTGGTTACAGCATCGTTAGCAGCTGGAAAGAGTAGCTAGCTACCTACCTGTTCATTCTCTAAAATCACACACGTATATACACACATTGAGGAGGAAATTTGCGCACGCGCACGGCGCATGGGGTTGCGCAATAATTGATCACGCCCCTTTGTTTTGACGGGAGCAAGTATAGTTGCGGAGTCAAAGCTGAGGAGTCAAAGCTGAGGCTAGCGTGAGAAAGGCAACTTACAACAGTGTCTGACTGCCACTCTATAGAAGGGACAGACACTTATAGAGACAGGGAGAATCACAGGTAGGTAAGCTTACTAGTCTGCTGTCGATCCCTGCTGTCTGTAGCCCGCCCATCCCCCCCTCAATATCACGAGCATGGCTTGCCTGTATATCAGACCTAAATTATCTTGTAGACTAAGCATGATTATGTCAACTCCCTTATTTTCACTCGACCACCTAGGCATCGCAGTGGATGTGTAATAAATTTTCTTCAAAAATTCTCTCAACCACATGTCTACAGAAGTGTTGAACTTCTCCGTAAATGATTGTTAGCTGTGAAAAGACCAAGAAGAGGAAAGGTATTATACTTGTATATACCTTGTTAATTGGGTAGTGGATGAGCCTTATTAGGGTATAGTGTACCTACCAAAAAATTCCAAAATTCCAAAATTCCAAAAGGGGATAACAAGACAATGAATAATGTTTAGCTCTCCACATGGGGAAAGTGTAAACATTGAAAGTGTCTGATTATGTGCCTCTTGTTGTACTACAGTTATAAGATGTCTGGGGATCTGAGTGAGCCTCACAGAGTCCCTGGTTGTGAACTAGACCAATTTGAAGATGACTCCCTTATCCAGGTACCCATGCATGCCTTACATAGATAGCTACCGAGATTTTGTCCGCCCCCAAATCACCCTTCAGTCGACTTTGCCCAAGACCGAACTGAAGAATGGGAAGATCATTTGTGATGGACCAACTCAACTGCCACTTTCACAGCAGGTATGGCTCTTATATACAAGCATTGACTTTATTGCTGTGGTTTGAAATTTCTTTCAGATAAAGTCTGGTGAAGAAAATGTCAACTTCCTCAAGACAAACCAAGCAGCTACATCTGCACGAAATGGAGAAGACAAGTTTATGGTGTCAGATTTAGATTTCATTCAGCCACCACCTGAAGTATGTTAATAACTACACATGTTTTCGTTTTCTTTGTTATAATGATTGTTCTTAGTGGTAAAAATTGTTTAATGGGGCAAAAGATCTTTCCAGCGTTTAAGTTGTTGTCAAATAGTACCGTCTAAAGTGAAACATAGCTAAACAACTTTACACAAATAGCAACTCTACCGTAATGTACCATGTGCTTGTTTAGCTAAGGCTATTGTCCCATTACATGCAGGAAGAAGATCATTCCTGCAGTAGCGGGTCTAGTACTGTCTCGGAGGACATGAGTTTCTCAGATTCGGGTGACTCGGTCGAGGTGCCAGAGTTTATGGATGCCACTGAGCACAAGAGTGAAAAGTTGTCAGCTGCTATGAATGAAGTCGTGACTGGCATTCAGCACACTTTCTATACTCCAGAAAAGGTACGTTAACTAGTAGAGGAATGCAATGAATTTTTGGCGAGCGAAGCGGGCAGTTCAATTTTCCGTGTGTTTTCGTGTGTATTTTTTAGAATCATGTAGAACATTACGGTGCGCATGCAGTGCGGGTATGCGGGTCACAACATTAAATTCCTGCATTCAGACGACTAAAATAATAATTTTGTTGACACGCAATAATAAGATTTGTGCAGAATTGAATATTTTTCCATGATTCGTTAACAACATTTAGTGCATGGCTCAGTTAGAGGTTTGTCGAAGCCTCGTGTATAATCTCCCACATGTTTGTGGGATTAACCTTAGCAAGTCATGGGAATATATATGCACAGAGCCTCCATAAGTCCATAAGAATTTATATATATACTAGGTGATATGTTATACATCAATTTCTGCTTATTTAAGGAGATACCCATGGCATCCAAAGGGTTAAGATATTTTTCGTGTTGGCTTGTTAACACTACCTCCTAGTGTTGCAACGTATGATTTTGTTAACCCACAGAGTTGCGGTGAGAATATAGCCATTCATCAGGCTTGTCCTGAACAGCAGCAGCAGGTTCCTAACTCCAGTGCCGGTTGTGGACCACCACTGGTGACTCCCAACAAATGGCCCCTAGAATCTTCCCTCCCTGACCAACACAATCATCATCAGCTACAGAAGGTGCTTTGCAGAATCATTCTTTTTTCTGCAAGAGAACCACAATTATTAGCAGTGTGCTTACAACTAGAACAACTGTGTGTATTTTTACCCTCGCTGCGCGCATGCGCAGCGGAGGGTTATTGCAGTCGGTGTCTGTGTGTGTGTGTGTGTGTGTGTGTGTGGTGTGTGTGTGTGTGTGTGTGTGTGTGTGTGTGTGTGTGTGTGTGTCCGTCCGTCCGTCCGTCCGTCCGTCCGTCTGTCCACCGTTTTTCTCGGTAATCGCGGCCCCTGAGCGTGAAACGTGGACATATTATCAAGTAGGAAGAATGCACGGTAAAATAAGATTCTGGAGCGGAGAAGGCCGGGGAAGCGGGCGAAACGGAGGGCTGCCGAGGTGAGTGTGCGTCAAATAGAGATAAAAGACAGTTGAGTAGGAGCGTGATTTCCAGTGAAGTGAGAGCCAGGAAGCGAATCTGTTCAGTGAAGGAGTTACTGAGAGTAGCTAGTAGCCATTGGCTGCTGAAATAAAGAATAAAGTGGTGACTGAGGGTTATGTATATACTGTCAAGTGTTTTTGTAGTAACTAGTATTGAAAACGCATGTCCAGAATAATGTGGACAAGGATGATTGGAATAAAGGATAATGTTCACAAAATGAGACATAGGATGTTAGCTATGGCTATATAAATGTATCTTTGTAGATAAAAATGGCTGAAGTAAAGTTGAACCTCCATAATTAACAGTGGCGAGGGTTATGCACTTTCAAGTGCTTTTCATGTTTTATGGAAATTTGCATGCCTCTAGACTCCAGAGGAAGACGATTATGCAACAATTTTCCAAACACTTTCTGTTGATGAGGGAAACCCTGCAAAGGTAGCTGTATAATTATACATCTGTCCTGATATTTTTACTTCACATTTTCTGTTGGTACTATGCAGGACATCATGAGGATAGATTCTTTACCAGTTCCTCAACAGGTATTAGTCCTTATCGCTATGTACAGTTGCAATGATTCGTTAATGCTCCATTCAGGGGGATTCAAGACAAGGAAATCTCGTTATTGGACTTTCTCAATTGCCGACAAATTTGGTTAGTTTTTCAGTAATTCTTCTCAGAGTGGCCTCAGAACAGTGTGAAAGTTATATATAGGAAGATATGTGTGATGTACAAGGGTATGATTAAACCTGAATGGGAGCTAGACAACAGATGCCCAGCATTGAGAACTGGGGCGGTGTTTAAGATACCCGTGTTTCTTCTTCTCTCTAATAGGAGCCAGCTTTAATATCGCCGGACATCATTTTGGAGCCAAACCACTTCCTTGAAAAGGGTGTAAGCATCATGGGAAAATCCCTGAATCCCATCGTGACATCTCTCCATAACGATCCCGGAAGTAGAGTAAAATTGTACGTTCGTACGAAGACAGAGAAGCAAAAGACCCAAAAAGGCTGCCACAGTGTACAGAACGAGGGACATTCCAGTTTCCAATCCTTCAAACAACCACAAGTACCCGGAAGCTTTCGATGGTAGAATCCTCCTCCGACACATTCGTAAACATGCTCCTGATTATGCGTCCTTTCTGGATATTCGTGGCAGCTCAAACGACCTGAAGACACCGATTGATGTAATTCTAGGCATGATCCCGCGACGCCTCAACCCCTCCCTAACTACAGCAGCTCTTGGCCACACCCTCTACTACATGGAAAGCTTTCTCGAGATCTTTGACAGCGGCTTAGAGTCTGCTGGTAAACATGCTCTTGCGGTGCATGTGAAAGAGGGCATAAATGAACTGAAGTATGTACGGAACACTGCCAATCAGGCACGTCGACTCTCACTCGAGTTGGCCAAGTAAACTAACTATTTTATATTTCTCGGGATCGTTCAGTTTGTGTACATTGTTTTAGAGTTTGTAGACTGTAGCTAAAAGGGCTGTTTATATAAAAGGTTTTTCCCTTCACGGGTTTTTCCCTTGGTCCTCTGATTGAGCCGTCAGGACCTAAATGTGTTGTCTTACTACAAGGCTCCAGCCCTTCCGTGTTTTATTTTTGTACTTCATCCGGGTGCTTGTCATAGAATAGCAGTGTTACTTTAGAGGTATGTATATGTGGCATTCAAGGTGTGAGTATTGTCAGCACCGCACGACAACGTGCTCGAGAAATTAGCGCGCACAACTATTATGTGATTCGCCCCTAAGCGCATTGAACTGTGACGATCCGGTTTCGAATTAGCGCGCAGGGATTCGCGCATGCGATCCGTCATCCAGGCCTACATCCACCCCTTTAAGAGGATTGGGGTGGCCCTACTTGACATGCGGTTCCTACTCAATGTTACTACCCTGACTCTTGGAACTTTATACACCATCCAGAATGATAATAGGTTCTCCGATCAGGAGAATTTAGTCAATGCATCTGTGAGCACCACTTTCATCTGTTACATTGGTATTGTTCTCTGGCACTTGCTGAAGCGGCTGCGTAACAATGTGAGGATCAGGAACAAGACTGACCAGATGTTAGCCAGTGCAACCAGAGTCGTTCTGGGTGTGAAGCAAGGGTCAAAACCATTATGACATGCAATAAGAAGGAGGAGGAAAATGAAGAGGAATTGCCGGGTGGGCAGTATCGTACCGAACACTCTGAGCCAGCTGTTCCCTCAACTGGAACAACTACAATATCTCTCAAGGACATGGTGGCAGCTCCAGATGACTGTCGGTCATGACCACCAACCTTGTCTCAATTGAGGGAGCCTGTTATGGACCTTGTAGAAAAATGAGAGATATAGGTCACCTAAACTGTATAATAATTCTATAGAGACTCATTGCTACGATACTATTAACAATTATATGAAATCCTTTTATGTAGCGTTCGACCACTTTCACCTATATAAACGTACTCACAGTCTTTGCAATAGACGACTCCTCTCTTCCTCTCTGTGGTAACTGGTGTTTTACCATGCACTAGAGACTACATAAAAGGATTTCAGAGCACAAATATGCCATCAAACGTCAGGATAAGAACAACGGTATATCTGTACATGTGTGGTCAAAGCTAACTCATGTGATGTGATTGGGAGAGGCAGCGAGTGTAAAAATGTTTTCGTCCAGCACTGTGGGAAAGAAGGTCCCCACTCAACTGAGCGACATCTGGGAGCGCCAGCATTACACGCACACATCATATAACCCCAACCTCAGAAACATCAACTCAAGCTGTCAGCACGTAAACTGTTGTGCATTTCAGAAACATCAACTCAGGCTGCCAACACGTAAACTGTTGCTCCTTTTCTGGCCACAACCCTTAGTCCTTTAAATTCTGTAACCATCTTAGTTGTGCAGTTCACTGAAGAAGGTCTACGGACCGAAATGTATGAAACATCTTTTGAAGTTAATGCTACGCAAGCTCATTAAAATAATTGTTAAACTGTATAATGATTCTTTGAATGTAGCTAGCTATTCTAGATGTTCTCCCAAACACACTTAGGTATAAAAAAATTAGGGTTGTATAGTTTTTGTTGTAAATGCTACAGTATGGCCAGGGAGCGATGTGCAAGGTATATACAAAATGCTCATTGCGTCCCGCTATACAGCATAGCTATACATATGGCGGGCCTATGCAGGAGGATCACCCGAATTGGACCCGTGCGCCATCCGCAATTAAGTGGCGCGGGGCTCGTGCATTACGCAACCTCGTGCGCTATTGGGCAACGCGCGTGCGCACAGACTCGATCAAGTAGCACACACGATGTATAAAAAGCCCATGCTATATCGCTATTTTTTCAGTGAGAGTCGTACCCTCATTCTCAGCGTTCCATCGCGGAAGTTTTGGGATTCGTGAACAGTATGGCGTCGAAGAACGACGATGATATGCCCGTTATGACTCGTCGAGCAGCAGTTCCACCAGATGATACGTCTTTCTGGCCAGAAATCGAAACTGAAGAGCGTGGCATCTCTACACCGTGGACGCAAGCCATAAAGGATGTTATCAAATTTCTCGATGTTGAAGAGCCGTACAGCGCAGAAGCAGACGAAGATGGCATCCAGTTGGCCGAATTTCTTATCCAAAATGCCGATATTTCGGTTGCAATTAACAACAAAAAAAGCGAGCTGATAGCCAAGAGTGGGTTCGATGAAGTGCAAGTAACTTACTTCAAGAACTGGGCGGGAACACTACGGGGGTTGGTTCTGTACGCGCGCCCAACCTACATACGCGACGTGAAAAAACTGGTGAAGGCTTGC